AGGAGCGTACAAAGGACAGAGCTGTCCGAGACAGTGGGGCCCTTTGGGGTGAGGGCAACTGGCAGTTTCTTGGACCATAAAAATCTTTCAACCTCTGGAAGAGAAGGGAGAGGGGAAGAGCAAGTAACCTGCAGGCCAGGGCGTCTCGCAGGCCAGAGTTTCTCTCAGTCCCAGGCAAACCCAGGTTCTCCTAGCTCTTGCCTAAGCGAGAAAGCAATTACACCTGAATAGGTGTAAACACTAAAACACTGTCATTTCTCTGGTCTAAGTTAATCTCCTTCCAAATGGAAGGGAAAGCAGCAGTTTACTGCAGAACATGCCACTGTAAGCAACTATATGTCACGCCTTCATGATATTAAAAAAATATTCTCCGGGAAAGCAAAATATTATTCAGAGTATTTATGTAACATTTAAGTCTCATGTTTAGATATTCTGCTCTGACATACATTGTTTGTAACAGGCTTATTTAAAATTCGCCACTGTTCAGTACGCTGGACATTTGCCAGTCACTGATCATTTCTTGGTGGCAGCAAGATGCAGTTTTTGAGCAGCTGGCTTGTTTCAGCTGATCAGCTGAAAAGTCTAACATTTCTTAAGAGGCAAACTGATGCGTCTGAAAACTCGTTAGTCTGCCTATTTAACATCTGCAAGACAATCCACATATAAAAAAGGGTAAGAGAAAGCTTAACTGAAGAACCCTTATGAGGGTTCTGGGGAACTGAGGTTCAACCCCCGTTGAACCAGTTTTTGTCTTTAAGAGGGCTCACTGGAGACACGCAGTCATTACTTTTCTTCTTTGCAAAAGACGTTAAATGTAAGATGCACTTTTGAGAACCGTCATATACACTTGTGCACAGCAAAGTATGTTCAAGGTACATCATATAGTTAGAGGTAAGTAACTGCTTGGAAAAGGCCATGTTATCTTAGTGAGTCTCAAATTGTGGCTGGTGAAACCACATTAAGCAGTTTACAGCTGGGTTCCACATAAGCCTTCCTAGCTACCTGTCTGGCCTTTGCCCTGTTATATGGCCCGATGCCCTCAAGGTTCTACCCATCAGGCCTATTTTTGTCTCAGTAAAAGCTCAGTAAAACTGCATGAGAGAAACACAAAACCCAATGATCAGCGCTGTGCTGCTTCAAGATGTTTGCCACTCTTGGGCTCCTTCTCCCCTCAACAGCACCTCTACACACACTCTTCAATTTCTCAAACAACAGCATGTAAAAGTTCAAATACGGCCACTCTTACTAAAGACTAAATATGGGATTTATCCAGATATACAGAATAGCTCAAGACCACACTAGAACACTGTGGAGCAAATTCTCATCTATCATTGTGAACAGCAATGAAAAGAGTAGGCGATACACGAGTCAGAATCGGAACAAAAAATAATTTCTCGTTTTAGGGCTATGTAATAAATCTGTGGCCTCTCCACACACGAGAGCAACCACCTCTATGGAAAAATGCCACTCCAGAACATGTCCCAGTTGTACTCCTGCAGATGTGGAGCTTCTTGCGTGCAGAACTGCACTGAGAACTCCCCAGCTACAGGAGAACTTGGACCAGGGATGTTGGGAACTGGGTCGCTACCTTGTAATGTTTTCCACTAAAGCTCAAGCCAAATCTGTGGGCGCTTTGCCTGAAGAAGATATACAAGACTTGTCCCAATGGCTCTTACAGCTTTGATTTAAAACCAGGGAAAACACAAAAGACACAAAACAATGCATGCAAAGTGAAAGTCAGGAAAATCAAAGCAGCACTTTTTCACTGTGCTGCTGCACCTGCCAGTAGCCCATCTCTCCCCATTATCACAAAGCAATGAGCTGGAGCTGTTAGAAACAGCTCTCTGTTCTTTATTGAAATGAAGAATTCCATTAGGGTGAACTCCAGACAGAGCAAGTCATCATATGTCACAGTATGGAGCTGCAGGGAGCTCTTTTTTTTTAATTTTTGCTTTTAAAACAAACAAGAAAAGCAACTAATTCCTAAATCATGTAAAGGTTCTTGGAGTGAAATTAAGAGACCATACCATTCCCTCTGGCATATAATCCCAGAAGTACAATTCTGCCACCTCTAATACTGTCACTACAATACCTGCAGTATATATTGCTGGCATTTAAGAGTACCCCAGCTCCTGAAGCTTTGTGCCTACGTGAATATTTCAGCATTGTCAAATGAAGGAAATTCCAGCCCTCTTGGCCTGGCAGAAAAATATAGCACTAGAGCTTGGATGTGATGGGAAGGTTTCAGAAACTTTATTATTCTTTAAACCAACGGAAAGCACCAAGTTTTGTTCGTACACAACAACAAAAAAATGGAACTTCAGTAGACAGTGTGTTACTTTTTTTTTTGTTTCTATAAAAGTAACCTGTTCTTTCCAATGTTAGTGCATTTACTCAGTGTGCTGTCTCGACTGCTAGCTCTTCAGAGCAAAGACCAACTCTGCTTATACAGTGGTAGTGCAACAATACTCCAGACTTTAATATCTTAACACAAAAATACTAAGACAGCTTATTTGTCTAAAAATTATTTCACTAGTTACACATACAGGTCTGAGAAAAAGCAGTGTAAATGAATCGTCTTCACTGCAGAACACAAGTAGTAGACTTAGACTGAAGTAGTATTTTCATAGCTCTCTCCATACTGAAGCATGGGAAAAGTATGCACGTGAATTTAAGTATGATTTGCTTAGAGGTAATACATTTTTGCTTGCTAAGCCTATATTATTTTAAATTGGACACCGATAGCTGACAACATAAAATAGGCCAGTTAAGGTTATTCTTACCTTTCGGTGGAAAAACAGATGTGGAACCATTTTTTCAGAGAAGTTTCACTCAGAAGTTGGACAGATCCTGTGCAAGTATCCAAAAAGTTACTTGCTATATGCAAATCTTCCTTTACAAGAATTGTCACTCAATAATTCTGTAAGTATTTAGGATACCAAAGAGTTTTAGTGCCAGATAAGTATTGACAACTTTAACTGTATATAACAGTTCAATGACTTCTTAAAGGAAATTTTACATATATTTAATTATTGCAAACTGAAGAAATTCATATTTCTGCATACTAGTATGTAAAGTTTCATCTGTGTGTTATTATCAAGATAAACTTCTGAAATGAACAGACCATTTGTCTTAAACAATTTAGCTTTTTTTTTTTTTTAAATCAGCTGTGTGATAATGGGAGTTGTAATGATTTTGAACCATAAGGATGGCAATTAAGTTCTCCTATCAGCCTTTATGGTAGCTCAGAATTTTAAGTGGTTTATTCAGTAATCCACACACAAAAGATAAAGCGGGAAAAGAGTCAAGATGCATCAGCTCGGCTATAAGCAGAGACCACACTGATGGCACTCACGTAGCACAGAAAAAAATCCTCAAATATGACATTTCTTCCTTCAAGATTTCATAATAAGGAAGTCCACACTTAACTGGGCAACCTCTGTTACAGCTGTACTCAGAAAACGGAGCTGCAAGATACCAGACTGCTGTCTGGAATTCTTGTTAAGCAACACTGCCTCACCGAAAAGAAGTTCACAGGAGATGGTGTAATGTGGCAGTTGCCCAGCTTCATTTTCCAAAGCAATTTTTTTTTTTTTTTCTTCCCAATGGCTCCATTTAAGATGGGTCATTACAGAAGCTAATTATCTAGCGCAGTAGAGACAAAAAACAGTGTTTCAGACATGGAAAATAAAGCCTGCTGCAACAGAGCTGAGTTCTCAGTCTCTCTCAGACATTAACAACCTACCTGTTCTTTGATTGCAGCTGGTATCACCTGAGGAGACAAGTCAAGCATCCTCTGCCATGGCCCAGTTCGCTACTACTGACAGCTCCCAGATGAATCCATGGTGTCTGCAGCCAGCCTGTCTCTCTCCAGGAAAGTTCTGACTAGCACAAACTTACTCAGTTCTTGGCTCCTACCAAGCTTCTCTCTTCCGGTAAGAGCAGCTGCTTTGTGCTCCTCCCAGTCAGCTCCCAAGCATATTTCTTTCCACCCCTTCCCACAGGGCCTAACACTTGTGACAAGTGCAGAAAGGCAGGTTGATTGTACAAGCTGCCCCCCCCCCAACCCCCATTACAGGGGCACTGTATCACACTGACCAACAGGAATCATTAATACTCCTGTTACTGCAGGTGAGAAAAGGCATTTTCAGGAAAGAATGGGAGTCTTCTGACTCTTAAATCATCAACTGTCACACATTCAAACAGAAGCAACTTATTGGTAATGAGCTAGCCAGAAAAGCAGCTTCTAGGGTTGGTAGCTTACGTAGTATTTTCGTAACTAGAGCATCCATCAGCTCTACTACAAAAACAAGCCTTACAGAAAATTTTCCACAATAAAGGAAACTATACATTGGAAAGCCTCTTAGGCGGAGGTTAGAATTTCTGAGAACAGTTACGAGAAATCAAAACATTTCTGAGCTTCTGCTTAGGAATTTGCCTACATTATTCTATTAGTACTATCCAGGACACATAACCACCTAGATATTGATCAATTAAGTCAACTCACAGTAAGCAAGGACAGTAGAGTTCTTACTAAGAAATACCAGAATAGAGTGCTCAAAGATGATGACAAGACTGTTAGGGAAAACTTTTTCAGTCCTATATGATGAAAAAAGAAAGACAACTACAAAGAAGTAGGCCAGTCATTTTTTTCTTTAATATTTTAACTTAGAATAAAAAAAGGCAAAACAACTCTTACTATACATTCACATCTCTCCTCTCCCAAAAGTTTGGGTTTTCTGTCAGGAGGTCCAGAGCCCACTTGCCATCAGGTGAGAACTTGATTTCCTTATTAGGCCTCTCTACAAATTTGGGAACATGAGAAGGAATACCTCCTTGATTTTGAAAGTCCACCCCTCACAGTAGGAAAAACAAGTAATTCTGGTGAGCCCCTGGAAAACATTTTGATGTCTAAAAGAGACTGGTGAACCCACTGATAGAACATAATCAAATAGAAGAATTTTGACACTCAACGAGGAGATTTGGGGGAGGGGAAAATGTATCATGTCCAGTGTTTATTACAAAACAATTATTTTAATCCTAGTTTTTTATTATATATTTTAAAATTCAGTGCTAATGATCCCAGAATAAATGATCAGGTTTCAGCCAGGTTCTTTGTTTTGTCCTCCTTTTGCTCAGATCTTCTAGCATCATTGCAGTCAGAATACTGACAGTTATTGATGGATTTATCTGAAACAGTACCAGTCATGTTAAAGGTGATACTTCTTGTAAGTTTTTACCTTTTGCTCAGCCTTTCCATCGTGTACACTGAAATGCCAGTAACGCTTTCGCCGGCCACGTGTGCCTTTCAACTCCTCTCATATCTCATCAGTCGAGTATATGGGACAATTCCTTCTCCAAGGAAACAACTGCTAAATAGTTCTCTCTCATTTTTGCAATTTTATTTTGAGATGGTAACAAGAGGAACCTTAAGCATTGAAATGCATTTAAAAAATAAATAATCTGCTCTCCGGTCTATACAATTCCATGTTCTTAGATCCTCACCCACGCTAACGCACGCTATGCAAGATAAGAGCACTGTTTTTTGTTTTTTTTTTTTTTTAAGGTTTTTGTCTGTTTGAAGACTTTGAAGTTCTACATCACCTTTAAGCGTGAATAGCTTCTCTTTTAAAAACATGACTCACTATCATCCATCTGCAGATTCTAGTGAAGATCGCTTATATTTCCATGAACTATTAGGCCTTTTCCCCTGAAAGAGAAAAAGTACTCTGTAAGAAACTTTTTACATCAAAGATATCAAATTCAGAAACATTTCTTTAAAATTCACTGAAGAAAGTTTATTTCTGAATTTCTTCCAGTGTTCTGATTTATTCCTAGAACATTGCCACAGATTTTCCTAAGTTATCATTGGTAAGTAGCAATTCCATTTGCCAAATTTGCTGCATAATTTCTCTTAATTTTACGATCGGACACCTTGCTGTTTTAGTGGCTTCCTAAGGGGGACAAAAAAGGAGTACAATAGATTTGGGAAAGTTTAAAGCCAACTTAAATCAAATGTTCCTACAATCGAACGTCTGTTAGGGAGACTAGTTCTAGAGAACAGCTTTGGGCATTCCAGTAACGGACTCAGAAATTTCCAAAAAGCAGCTTATTTTTTCTTTTCCCTTCCCATGCTGTTCCACCTGCTTCCCCCATTCTTTTTTTTCCTCTTTTATATAGAGGAGGGAAAAAAGAGAGAATGCTTACATAGATGCTTCAGGTTAGCAAATAAGTTTGTTCTGGAGAAAATACACTGTTTAGGATGCCTGAAAGAGTCAAGGCATTTGAACCCATTTTATAATATCGAGCTCTTTACAACTACAACATAGGAAACAGCAGTTCCTAATTTAATGATATGATAACTGGCAAGCAGTATTTGTACACCCCCGAAGTGTAACTGTACAATATATTTAAAAAGTGATAAAATTCTCTACAGTAGTTGCCAAAGTGCAGTGCCGAGTGGTATAAAGTGGTTTCTACGGCCTTACCAGTCACTGGGATGAACTAGATGACTGTGGAACTGTACCTCCCATGACAATGCTATTTTTGTCAGTAAGGGTCTTGAGCACAGTTGTGGCTGGTGACTGAAGAATTTTACGGGAAAGCCGCATTCTACCATCAGTTGGGTCACGTCCAAAGTACTTAACCTGTTAAGAAAACATACCACTCTCAGACCACCACAGTTTTGTTAAACTACTGTATAAGAATGATAAATCTAAAGAGCAGGAAATAGCATTTTCCTTCATTTTTTTTGACACCAAAAAATCATAAACGATATGCACTATTTAGCCTGTATTGCTCAGTCAAGTCAGTTTGGTGCATGTATAGTAAGAGATATTAAATAAATAAAATTCTGTTGATTTGAAGTGATCATGTGTTTAACTAGCACAGAGGGAATACGATATGACAAAATATTTCCTTCATAAACACAAAATTAAAAATTCACTCAAACACTAGAATATAAGCGGCGGTTTGTTAGCAATTTAAGGTTCAAAAGAAACAAATACCTGAATTTCTTGGCCAACTTCTAATCCCAGGGCACTAGGATGTTTAATCTAGAACACAGTATTTTTCAGAAAGTTTTATTTAAGCGTAAATGAATATATATATAAGCATGTAATATATATAAGCGTATAATGGAATATTCCAACTAGATCACATAATTTAATCTGTTAAAAATATACCTATAGAATCACGCTTGCTTTTGCATTACATTATGGTGAACGGCAAATGTGAAATGCCAAAAATACCAGTAGCTGTAAAGGAAACATTCTTTCAGTTACAGCTAATCCAAATTACCATTTTGTAAATAAGCAAGGTAGGACTTCTGCCTTGAGACAGCTCATCAATCTGAGATTGACAAAAACTTCTTAAGTAAAAAAAAGTATTTCTATTCACTGTGCAAAGTTGTTGTTGTTATGAGCACACAGACAACGAACCAGAAAACATCAACAGATGCCAGAAACTACTAATATCTGTTAGGAGAGGCAGCCAGGAGGATCAAGAACGAAGCGCGGACACATTTTCCTCACAAACGAAGCAGGAGGTAAGCTTCTCAGTGACGTACCGTGCCTGGGACTTTTGACTGACTTTGCTACCCACTACGCCAAGAAATAAGACCATCAGTACATCTATTTATTGGTTGTTACCATGCCAAGAGACTGCAACAGGAATTTAATTAATAGCTCACGTATATAAAGTACACTATCAAAAACGCAACTGTCAATTTGCTATTAAATCACCGTTAAAACCTACTACATCTGCCTCTGTCAAAATCCAGTTTTTACTTCCTCAAGTCACTCCATGTTTTCCTGCCAACAATGCATGCACATACTTTCCCAGCACCCAGTCAATCCTTTCTTCAGTGCTTGCCTCTGTCGCTAATCTGAATTTTTCCTAGCAGTTTATGGCAACAGGTTTTCAAGAACAGAATAAAACTCAAGCCCATACAGTTTTCTTCATGCTACGTTTCAGACAACTATAGATGGACCAAAATGGCTAAACACAGACTAATGAACAACTGGGTAATATATGTTACATATCGGAGGATATTACAGACCTAAAGAACTTGATGATGCGCATAAAAGCATTGATAGTAGGCCTGTAGCTAGCATACAGACAGAGCCACATGCCCCCCTAAGCACAGGGTAAGCAAAGGTTAAACAAGAAGTGAGGTGCTGCTAATCTACTAAAGCTTTTAACATGAAAATGGACTCTAGAACGCCAGCATGTTTGTTATAGCTAATGCAGACTATGTTTAACGAGATTTGATTAAAAATAAATAAAAGAAATTTGGCTTAAAAGTCTCTAGTTTAGCATTGTTTAAACATGCGTTACCTTTCTTTGATCAAGTTGTGAATTATGAAGCAACACTGGTGTCATGTTTGGATACAATTTTACCATTACTCCAGAATCTCTGCAACAGAAAACAGCATGCTTATTTCAAAGTACATCAACAGATGTCTGTAGGTAGCTTATTCTGCATGTTGACCCCAAAGCAAGTATTTGTAATATTTGCTCAACAAAATTTTACTCATCACTAAATCCTCTAAACAACCATAAGATGTCTACACATTTATCCTCAATTGAACAGAAATTACTTATTTCAGGAGGGCACATTTCAAATAAGCAGAACATCCAAAAATGCAGGTAATCTCAATCCAATATATGCCCTTGCAATAGAGTGAAAAGCAAAATCCCACCATATCTCTAAGACACAAACGTGAAAAAGCCTTAAATTTTAGGGACGTTCTGATACAGCAAAAATAAAGAGCTTCATTAAAGAAAGAGAATAGTATTTTCCAAAGAGAAAATATCAGGAATGATGCAGGTGCCACAATGTCACCAGCATGAGTTTGACATCCTATTATAAAAAGTTATTTTTACAAAATATGTATGTATCAAGAATATATCTACATAAAGAAATACTTTCTAGTTCTACCTCAAGCTCAGAGCACTTTTCATACCTAATTTCAGTTATTGTGGCTGTATAGACTGCACCAAATTCCAGGCTAAGTTCTTGCTGTAGGGCAGAGGGGGGGGGAAAAAAAAGAAAAGAAAACTGTAAGACACAAATTCACAAAACGCAAACAGAGAAGGCTAACAGCAAAAGTCTGTCCTTACATCATCTTTGCAGATTTCACGGATAAATTCTCTTGCTTCATGCATAGCACTAGGTGTTGGAGCGAACACAGAATACGTCTCTTCATCCAGCTGACTTAGTGTTACACCTTAGAAAAAGGATTTATTTAATGAAAGGATTTAGATGCACATTGTTGCTGTTTCAGCAAGCAGAAAATTCACATCCACACTAAAGACTTGCACAGGGCAAAATGATTTAGCGCAGATCCACTAAGCTCTCAGATTCCTAATCGTTTCAAATATTCTTCTTTGGATTAGGCATTGGACAGCTTTATATATAATTTGTATAGAAGCCATTTTACAGCTATGCTTGCCAAATAACCGGACAAACTTGTGCTCCACATGGAAACTTTCACATTTGCAAAATTGTTTGTTATGATCCTGTAAGGACAGAGAAAATTCTGGAACAATTCAGGTTTTTAAGAATCAGTTTTGTTTTTTACAAGTGTATTCCATATAGATTTTAATAAAACGATAGCTTTCATTAACAGGTAACGGCAACTAAAACGTTTCAGAGTCAGAAACCTTATTGCATGGTCAAATTCTTTGTGCCTCTAGACTAGTTTTCAGGCCAACAGACCCCATATTGCTTGCAACCAAAGAGAGGTAAGATCTACACTTAAACACGTTCATAGCGGATCAGACTTGCTTGACATCACCTCTTCTTCAACATTATACGGAGGATTGTCCCCAGATGCACCATTAATTCTCTCTTCCACAAGCCCTGAAAACCTTATAATCTGCACCAAACTTCTGGAAATTCCCACTGCAAAATAACCCACAAGTACTTCTCCAAAGAGAATCTATGCAACCAAGTGCTGAAGTGAGCCCTACCTAATCCTTCAAAACATACATAAATCAAAAAAACAGTAAAGACTCAGGTTTTACTTAACATTGGAAGAGCTAAACAGACAAGGCTGAACACAAATACTATTATCCAGTCTGAAGCATAAAGCAAGAATTAAAAAAGGACCTAGTTTTCTTAGTTCTTCCTTTCTACTTATTAGGACGTTGTCATTGAACCGCAAATGCCAATTCTACAGACGATGGTCTACAAAAGAGTTTGGAATGTTTAAGTTTGGCTACTTCTAGATTCTGAAAAGGCATAAAGGTAGCATTAAGATTCAGTAATAGTTGTGCTAATACCACCCGTGCTATCAAGATCCACTAATTAACATTACACACTAGTAATTTCCATACAGCGAAGAGAAGCTAACATAACACTAGCAGGATAGGATATCACAGGTAGCGAGAATGCCTTACCTGTCTGCGCTTGAAGTTTTTTCAAATTGTATGCCCCAGGACCAACAAATTGTAACCTTTTTGATAATGGAACATGGATGGTTTCTGAAAGAACACGTAAAGATACTCTGAAATGCTGACTACAGCAGTTTTGAAAACTAGAACAAAAATTAAATCGCATTCATTTAGGTTTTAATTTTCTACGGCTAACTGTATTATCTGCTAAACACCGATTAAAACTATATTTAAGAACTGAAATAAATGCAAGCAAAGAACACAACTATTTGGAGGAGCGTAAATTCCCTTAAACCATACCATTATGGACAAGTATACCTATCCCGATTCAGTGGGAGTTTCACATGACTCTTCAGTTTAGTTCTGCTTTCCACTATATAGTGAAACGGTGCAATACTGCCTTTCAGGGTAACAAAGAACAAAACTTCGTCTCAAAAATCCTAAAGAAAAAGTAACCCGAAGCAGGGATGGGAACGGGAAAGAACATATACCAGACATTCACTGGAAAAGCTGTCTTAATCAGCAGCTTATTGCTAAAAGGTAACTGAGAGAGACATCAATTCACACCAACGAACAAGTAGCATTACCTACAACAGGTCCACTTTCTTTTCTGTTAGGTCTGGGTTTTGCCAGTGTTTGGTTCATGATTTGTAAAATCTCTCTCTTTGCAGCTGTGGGGGGGGAAGGCAGAGAGGAGGAGGAGGGAGAAAAGAACAATTTTGTGCAAGATGAAAATAAAAATATATTTATGTTGTTTCCATGATAAAGTAGATGAGGATCCATTCTTAAAATCTGCCTCCTGCCTAACTTGACAATTCATTACAGTAAACTAATGCATTTTCAGGTAGCACACCTTTGTTGCAGTATATCATTCTGCTCCATGTGTACTAATCCTTTGCCTGCAGCATATTTATTGATTATATGCAGCTGTCTAGAATTATACTGAAGCATAGAAATGTGTGCTATTATTTAAATAAATCAAAGAGCACTGATAAGAGCAACGGTGTGCAACTTTGATTAGTTATGCTACGCTGGCCTGTAACTTTAGCTGCTCTGCTTAAAGCAATACACCCTTCAATTGGAAGCAATAGTTCCTGTATTTTAATAAGCGTTTTCCTATTAAAATCTTGCTAAGTTACAATCCAGTTGAAAATATTCTCTTAGAACTAGTTAAACCCTTATTAATGCTTGTAGCTTCATCTTTTCACATAGCTCTGGAAAACGTTAGCGGTACATGTTAGAATATTTGCAGCAGTAAATTTCAGTACGAAACATACCTGAAATTATGGTAAACGAGAAACAGTTCGTTGCTCTTTTTATAACATCCTTTTTACTCCTACACATCACCTTTTCGATTAAATATATCTAATAGCACGTTTGTGTGCTAGTCTAAACACATTTCAGTGTTTTAACACTTTACATATATAACAGCAACAGGTGCCTTTTTCCTCTCCCAACTTCACTAGTTAAAGGCAATCTAGAGTTTCTATGCGTAAAGCTGCATTTCAGCCTGTGTTATTCATAGAGTATCTAGCTGCTACATCTTAGCCATGCTGATCTTAACCTCCCTGAGATGATGGAAAGGACTTTTATTTAACGCCCGAGAACTCTCTGCCACATAGACATTTAACAAACGGCCAGAAATTGCTTCGACGAGTTAGTTTAGAGCTTATTTTTTAATAGTCAACTTATTTTACTGCTTTTTTATTGCACAGCAAAGAGCAAACCTTTCTTCCCACCTCATCACATACGGTTTGAATACAGCATGATGAAAATTTTATAAGTGATGTGGCTTAGTGATATCATACTTGTTTACTGCAGTCAACTTCAAAATACCGAATACAAGTGTTTCGTCATATATTCCTTCACCCCAATGTCATTATTTTGTATTAGTAGGTTTTTTTCTCAGTTAGCTATGCCATTAACTTTATCGCATTTTTCAAAACGAATTACACATTGCACTAAATTGGTGACCCTTAGTACCACACCTTTTACATGTGTCATTTTTTCTTCCCTTTTAATAAAAAAAAGGGATCTCAAGGAACAGCAGGCATTTTCAATGACATTAGGTATGACAACACGGCAGTTAAGCGTGCTGGGAACGGCCAGACTTTTTGGAGACTGAGCGCTCTCTTCTGACTATTTATTTTGTATGAAGTGCCTATATTGAAATATAACATACAACATTCAAATCATCCTAGTTTTCAGAAGATAGCAGCTTTTTTACAATAGGAGAACAACAAAATTATTATTTTAATACAATTTATAATTTAATATAATAAAACGGGTGCAAATAAACACGGGCATACCTGTGGCTTGCTGAATAGCTTCCATTACAATTTTTACTGGTATTCCTGGTAGTTTTAGGTCAGCCTAATGTGAGAAGAATTAAATGACATCAATATGTAAAGAAAGCTTTTTAGGGGAATTCTCTAAGTTTCATTTTAAGGAGATTTACTGTTACGATACCTGCAAGGCAGTTATTCCTTTATTAGTTCCAGCCATTTTGAAATCCATATCACCATAGTAATCTTCAATTCCCTGCCAGGACAGATAGAAAGAAAACAAATGGGAATAACTTTACGCTAGCATCACATCGTACTAAAAGTAAATCCTATGTTTCAATAGGCCACAGAATACTTTTGCAGGCTTGGAATCACTTCCAATACTCCAATGTTTTTCTTTAGCCTTATTTCACTGTACCTAGGCAACCTCGTGCCTTTCTCTCCCTATATTCTCACAGCTTTTGTGGACTAGTTTTTGAACAACAAATCCACAGTTAATTTGCCATAATCAACAGCTGTCAATGGAAGAAGGAGCAGCAGCATGACAATGTGCATTTATCCCAGCAACTTAGCCCACTGCTCGTTCTCTCCTCTATACATTGAGGCTTATTTTTGTTTTTGTAAAGTGTTTTATAAGACTGGACAGTGATGTAGAGCAAGAAAACAAGGAAAGGTTCTTTTTGCTTACTTTAAAATCGGAATAGTCTCCTCATCTAGTTCACCACCGAACTCCACAAACAACTGAACTGGTACAGCTAAGAAGGCAACACTGAGACAAGAATATGCAGAGAAAGGACAAAGCCCATTTGTAACAGCACTGCCTCTAGCACCCTAACCCGCTTTCTGCCATAGCTACACACACACATACACAGAGAGCTAAGTTCTTCAGTAGATACTTGGAATGTATTTTCTTGCTACGGTGAAGACAAGCGTAAGCCTCACTAACACCCTGTCATTCAAACGATTAGACGCAAAATGCAGCAAATGAAACTAAAGTATTCAGGAGCTATAAATCCCTTTCTTTCAAGCAGAAAAGACAAAATTAATTGGAAATAGAGTTTACGACAGCTTAAAAGAAGGGACTGAGTAATGACACAAAACTAAGACGCGTGACTGAACATCCAATAAAGATTTTTTCAAATAATGGAGGAAGTTGGGGAACAAAACAGGGAAGACAAAACCACTCAGTATTTCCAGTAGTGTATGTTCCAGAATTAACTGAATAAACAGTGTTGCAAAAGAAGGCCATAGGGGCTGCTTTATAGGATTAAGCAGCAATAAAAACAACAACTCTGCTAGAAACACTCACCAGGATGTCTGTCAGCAAACGATAATCCTCAAGATCACCATTTTTTTCCAGATTGCTTTTGGTAACAAGGCCTATTGCTACACCTGCCACTGCACTGGATACTGGAACTCCTAATAGTGGTAATTAAAAAAAACATTTTTATAACCTTTAGTCATTCCCAAATTTATAACCCGTTAACACAAAATATAATTTATCCTCTGCAAAAGTTTCACATTCTGTACCTGCGTCCATTAATGCCAAACTTCCACCACACGCAGATGCCATTGAGGAGGATCCTATGGCGTTAGAACGCAGGGGAGAAAGCGATCAGAAACTTCTGAAACAAAACTTGCTAGTGATATTCCTTCAGTGACGGTTTGAAAGTTAAACCTTGCTGCTAGCCAGAAGATACCGTGCAGCAATACGCATGTTACTATAAGGTAATTACATTTTGCCAGAAAGCTTCCGAAGCAGAACTATTTTTAACATGAAATAGGTAAAGCAGTTTGAATCTTTCATGGTAGTGATACCAAAAAATCTCACCAAATATCATGATTAACATTAAATATTCTGGAAAAGGAAGCAGGGAGCTACAAATGGGACTCCTTCCCTTTCTTCACTAATCTCTTCTCCCAGCCATCTGATCTCAACTGCAGTGGTTAAAAAAAAAATGGGATCTGACCTCAAAAACTCTGCCACACAGGGGAACCTGTAACGTAAGTGTCACAGAGATCGGTCCTTCCTCCATCTCTTCTGTTCAGGTTCCCCTCCCCAGGGCAGATGTGGGAAAAGATTATATTATCCTTCTCCTGAAGCCCATGGATCCTCAGTTGATTACATATACATTGAAGTTAAAATTTAAAGCCAGCTGGCAAGAGATCCAGGCACACCTGACTAAGAATTAAAAACTAATAAATAATAGACTTTGTCTCTAGCACTAGGTTAAAAGTAAGGAAGTCATAATACCATTTGACTCCAAAACTTCAGAAGTAACTCGTATTGTGAATGGGAAATGCTGGGGAATAACTGGTTTCAAAGCTCTCTCTGCAAGTGCACCTGTTTAAAAATACAAAGTGATCCATAAATAAAAACAATCAGATGAAATATTAAAACCGAAAGCACTAAACTTCTCTAGTCTTAACTTACCATGTCCAAGTTCTCTTCTATTCACACCAGTAACTTTGCCAATCTCATTAGTTGCATAAGGAGGAAACTATGAAGAAAAAAATTTGTATACAGAAAATTTACTAGTATTTTTTTCGCTTTAAAAATCTTTGAATTTTCAGGCATCTCAAGGAAACACAGAATAAAAAATATCCATCACTTGCAAATGAAGATACAGCTTAGGTAATATTTAGTAAATGTTTTAATTCCACAGAACAAGAGAGGATAAAGCAGTTCCAAGGCAACTGAGAAAAAAGACAACAGGCTTACTCCAATTAAAACTTGTCAAATCAAGTATCAGAAAACTTTGTGTTTCTGTCATTCAGATAATGCCTATTGCCTGAATGAAATACTTCAGGCAAGCTCAAAAAGCTGAGAGAATAGTGATGCAAAAGCACTTATTTAATATTGGTTTAGCATGCTATCTGAACATATTAGAAGAGTTTATTAAAATTAACAGAGCAGGTATAATCTTTCCTTCAGTACTAACCTATCCTTAGCAATAAGGAGAAAACCCAATGTTATTAAAAAGGCTGTATGAAACGGCAACTTACGAATTACTTAATGCTTTTTAGAAAATCAGGGCTTTGGTTTATAAGCTGCAGCATAAATACACACATGAACTAGCATTAGTAAATTGCAGCAAATCATCTAGAGATCTTCAGAAGTGACCAGTTTTGGCTTTAAAGAAGACATTAAGCATCACGCAGAAAGCTGTGACACACAGTAAAACTCTCACCTCATAATGCAGCATGAAGTTCTTATCTTTTACTCCACTATCAAATAAAAATAAGACCAGTCAAAAAAGAACAACAATCGGTCTTGCATGTAATATGTAATACGGTTATATCGAATTATGCATACAAAGAGAGCAACTACAAACAGTGAATCAACAGCTTTGCTGATTACCCATATTTTTTCCCAATGTTTTTTGTAGTATATGATTTTAAAAACATAGTTTACAAAGAAACAAGTGTCACACTTGAATTGTAGCCATTTAAACAGCTTCCCTAGATAGAACAGGCCCTATCAGTACTTTATGGTGATTCTGGTACACCAAAAGGAAGAGAGACAAGCTTAAAGATCAGCAGCATCCTTACATAGGGAGAACTGCACACCCTGCAGTAAGCACGCAGCCACCTAAGCACTCAGACGGAAAACTCAAAGTCTCTGTAACCACAAGACAGCTCTTGATTAACAAACAATAAACCGCCCTGTGCTCAAAAAAAGTTCTCTAAGAGTCAAGTCTTGTGGTGCTTGACAATAAATACAAGAAGCTAATCTATGTATTTATTAAAAAAAAGGTGCTTCAAATCAAGACTCGCATTTAATTCTATACACAGGCCATCTATCTCTTATTCAAGAAGCATCCTACTGATCACTAATTTAAAACTAATTTCTAACACAAACTAATTTCCAAGAACAACAAAATTAGAGAAGATGGACAAGCACCTCTATGCCAAAACATTTAACTAAAGTAAAGCTGATACACTGATATGTAAAAGCTCCCCAATTGGTGACATGAGATCACTGAACTGCAGCTTTAAAGGGATGGAATTTACCTTCCCCAACAAGTTAGCTGTCAGCAGTAAAAAAAAAAAAAAATTAATAGTACGAGGACTTCCTTGCTACAATGTAAGTTAAGTTTTCATTATTCCATTAAAAGAGAACGCAAACAATTTTTTCACCATCTCAATATTTTTCTTTTGAGACAGAAACAGAAATTTACACAGGCTGATTCAGCTGGGGAAAAAAAGAAATTCATCTGCTCACTTTATTTTTTGTTTGAACCAAACTTGCCAGCTAGAATCACTGCTTACTGAAGACAAAGCTGCACTCCATGGATTGTGTAGATGCACTCTATGCAGCAAAACTGCACTAACACGTAAAATACAGATGAAATGAGTAGAATACGTATCAAGTTGCAAACGTGGTGATAAATTCTTGGAACAAAGAGAACCAACTTCTGAGAGTCATTTCCTTTAAAGAGGCTTGACATACGTACACAGTGTTATAGATTTAAGTTCAGTGTACCCTGGAGAAGAGAAGACTCAGAGGCGATCTCATGAATGTGTACAAGTATCTGAAGGGGGGGAGTGTCAAGAGGATGAGGCCAGCCTCTTCTCTGTGGTGCCCAGCAACAGGACAAGAGGCAACGGGCAGAAACTGAAACACAGGAAGTTCCATCTGAACCTGAGAAAAAACTTCTTCACTGTGAGGGTGACAGAGCATTGGAACAGGTTGCCCAGAGAGGTAGTGGAGTCTCCTTCCCTGGAGATATTCAAAACCCGTCTGGATGTGATCCTGGGCAATATGCTCTAGGTGACCCTGCTTGAGCAGGGAGGTTGGACTAGATGATCTCCAGAGGTCCCTTCCAACCTAAACCATTCTGTGATTCTGTATTCTCTCTCTCTCAAAACCAGACTGGACATTATTCCGAACATTCTCCAATTTCAAATTTGTGTCTATAGAATTAACGTCAGCTCAACTAAAAGCAACTGCCAAGATGTTTTGAACATGGGCCACTTACTTCAAAGCCTAATTCGATGCATTTTTCAGTGCTCATGAATTCCTATGTTCATATTCAAGGAAGTTTTATGAAACGTATGTAAATGCCCACCCCTCCTCTTTTTTTTTTTTTTTTTTTAAATGTTGATAAAACACTAGAAAAATACACATACCTCACAGCTGTTGAGATAAGGTCTGATTTCACGCTTGATTCTAATGAGTCAAATGTAACTGTACAGAGAACCTAGAATAAAAAGGGAGAGCGAAAATATACTGTTCTGCAACACTTTCCTGTTTCATGACTTCTCAGACTGGTAATGACGAGTCAAAAAGAATGATTTCAGCAACAAGTATGGTACTATCATCTATCAAATCTCCAAATTTTTTTTTGTTCCTTTTTTTCCCCCCTCCTTTTTTTTTTTTTTTTTTTTTTTACATCATACAAAATGATTCATAATTCATAAAGATTATAAACCTTACAAGCGCTCACATTTAAAAAAAATAAACAAATCAAAAAATAAACTTATTGCTTTCCGACCTGTTAGGAGCCTGGAACACCAGTAACAGTTTCTTCCTAAAGAAATTGATTTACCTCATTTAAGGGCCAAACCCAGCCCCAACAACGTGTGAAAGGGCAAGACTGCTCTGTGACATGGACTCACAGCATGTGCTAGTCTCAGTGGGGTAAGCAGGGGACAACCGTTAGCTTAACTGAGGAATAAATCAGTCTTTGCAGCTATCTATGTACCCTCTGATGAGTTAGAGCAATAGCCGACAGTCTTCTAGCAAAAAGACCTACAAAAAAAGTAGATTCAAGACCAGATCTTGAATACAGTCTTAATACATGCCATCCAACATCAGAAACAGAGTCTCACACTTTTGGGAAGGAAGAAGAAGAAAATATCACTAATCTGATTTCATGTTTTATTTTCCTTCTGACTGCTGGTTACACATCTTTGAATGCATGAAGTGCCTTTTAAAAGAAGATTTATCATCTCACATGCACAATTTATCATTGCCATATATAGCAACAGCTCTGAGAAAGCAGATGCTAAAAAGTTAATCGAGGTGCCCATATAACGCTATTCATCTTCAGAACAGCATATTCTACGTTAAAAGTTTGTGTCTTTTGTCTCAACAAATGTCTTTTTAACATAAAAACCTAAAATCTGCATAGAGGGATAAAGAAGATACTATTTTGGACTTTTAAACTATTTTGGGCTTTTTAAACAACCAATTTCACTGTAAGCCATCCTGAATTAGAAAGCCTTCTTCTCAAAACAAAATCAATCCCTCCCAAAACAAAAAATCCCAAACAAACAAACCCCCCCCCCCAAACCTGAAAACACAAACTCTTCCCTCCAAACACCCCCGTCAAGAGACGACCAAAAAAAAAAAATCAAACCCATGAACCTAAACAAAACAAGGAGAATACTTAAGCTTCACACTTTGGTTAACAGACATTCTTCAGAAAGCCTGAAGATACAGTTTCGCTTATCAGTCTCTTTCTGGGCACATATGCTTATAATGTTATCCTGACATCTTTCCTGTCCACATAGCAAGCAGCTAAGTTTTGCCTAAGGTCTTAAGGGACCAGACATTTTTCACTCCCCTGTACAAGCGACTGTTTTCTAGCCTTTATTATTTGAACGCATAAGAAAAAGGAATTTTCAGTTTTTCGCAAGAAAAATACAAATCTGCCTGCTTTTAATAATTATGTTTAAGAGTTCTGATGTTTAAAAACATTACCTGTGTTTGACCTCTCTGAAATAACGCTGATCCATGAAGCATCTTAAACATGCTCACTTCACATCTAATATCTCTGATGGAAGTCAAATCTCTTCCATCACACCTAAAGTTACGAGGACAAATTATGAGATCAAAGAAACTATAGTCCTGAATAAAACGTTGTCCAAAATAATTTTTTAGTAGGGGTATGATGTACTTACCTTCTATATTCATTCAGAATAAGATTTCTAAAAATATCCTTTGAAACCACATTAAAAGATTCCATGATTTCATAAGGCTCAGCCTCTGGAAATTTTTCTGGATATAAAAAACAAATTGGAATTAAAGCTGGAAAATGAACTTCATACAGCTTTTACTAAAATAATATGGCCAACAAAGAACAAACTGTAAACCTAAATATTGCTAGTTCAGTTTAAGCACTTCTTAAATATTAAGAAAGAGGAAAACAATACCTTTCAAATGTTCTTCTGTTTCAAGCCTTATTTTGTTAATTGCTTCATCTCTAGAAATCTAGAACATAAGATTTGCAACCAGTTAACTCTGCAGGGCAGATTTTTTTTTTTTTTTTTAATTCTGCAAAACTCAAGGAATAGGACTTCCACACAGCTTCTGACAAAGAGCAATAACGAGCTGCAACAGGTATCGTTTTGGTAGATAGGAAAGGAAAGAATTTACCAACATTTATTATTGCTATTGTACATACAATATGCAGAGCCCAAGAGAAGTTTTTATTAACTTTAGCTTTAAAAAAAAAAAATCTTACTACAGCTTCATTACGATATTAATTAAATAATATTCTAATCGATTTTTTTAAAAAATATAGTACTTACGATAGTACTTACTTTATCGTGGCTGGAATCTGTGAATACTGCGTAGATCTTGTTAAAAGCAAGTCTTTTGGAAGAAGAGACAGAATTTTTGAAAATGCACAGCTTAAAGAACAATTTATTTTGAGAACTATGGTTTTTTTTCCATTAGCATTATTAAATACCAGGCTCTGACTTTTTAGACATTACTACTGCCAACTGTCCTTCAAGCCTGCTGCCTGCTCCACACCACCTCCCTGTGGTTATTACTTCCACAGCAAAACTCATACAAGCCAGCGTATCCTGGCTCCTCTTGCCACCACTCCACAGGAACACCGTATTAACTTACGGTATTTTCAGGCTACTTTTTTTGCCCTGTATTTCTCACTAGGCATAAAAAGAGCTGAAGGCTGTGTTCCTAGCTTTCTCTGAAAAAAGTTGTAAGAAACCCTAAACGTTCAAAACACACTCTGTTTTCTTCAAATAAACAAAACAATTACAAAAGCATCTGATCACAGATCACTAAATTCCTGACTTAACAAGAGTTAACTGAGAAAGCATTCTCACTCACTTTAAAACAGTTTAAATCCAAGTTACTTTTTCTGAACTTACTTTTTAGCACATTCCACAATCTCTTCAGGAGGAACAAATAACTTCTGAACAGTTCTCTTGACAACACCTCGTTCCTTCACTAGCTGTTGAATTCCCTGAATTATTTGCTGGGTATGTTTCACACCTACTTTGATGGCATGACAGAAATCTTGTTGCAGTATATTCTCAGCTGTTGCTTCCAACATAACTATTAATGGCAAGTTAAAAATTAAGTGAATTACTATTATATTTTTCAGTAGCAATCTGTTATTCAACCAAGGAAATAAAGATTAATATCATACAGCATAAATATAATAGAATTTAATTTACCTAACCAAAAAAATGCTTCACCATTATTGCTTACACCTACCATTGAGCAAAGACACAAATTTCAATCACTAAAAACATCTGTAAAGAGGTACCTACTTCATTTTTAAACTAAACAGGCAACAGCTTTTCATAATTAACCTACTTACCAACTTGATTTTGTGGGGCTCCAGCAACAACTAAATTTAAAGTGCTAGACGACAATTGTTTTCGAGTTGGATTGATAACAGTTTCTCCATCAACCAGTCCTACCCTTACTGCACCTACAAAGACATTCCAGAAACTTATTTTCGCAGTAATATGGAAGTACTTTTTAAGTATCATTTTACTTTGAAAGTTATACTTCTAAAAGCAATAATGAAAGATAAGAATTTGCTTTGAAATATTAGCCTATTATTTATACATTAAAAACAAATCTGTAAGACAAAATAAAGTATACTTGACTGTTTTTTAATTGGGTAATACTGTATACAGTGTCTTAAATTTGTTTTTTTAGTTATTTGAGCATAGGTTTTCTAGAAATAAGGCAGGGGAAGAAAAATACAACTAAATAGTTTTTCTCTGCTAGATAGTTCCTCTTCCCATAAAATATTCATAGTGACATAAAGCTCTTGGGTTCCTAGAAGAAAAATGATCTTATTCAGCCACTTTCTATGCAATGACCTTCAAGACTAAGCTTCTTCAAAAATCTGAGAACTTAAGGAAGCCCTTAGGGAAAAAAAAAATTTTTTTGTAAACCCTTACATTACTGATCTGTATATAAGATCACTAATTCTAGGTTAAAAAACCTCACACAAGTGCATTTGGTCCAGAAAATATAATGCTTTCCAGTGCAATAATTCCATGCAGCTTAAAAATGATTTCCACTACTTTAAACAAAAATTAGCGGCCCTTAGATTCATAAATGCTTTAAAAAAAAAAAAAAGGAAAAAAAAGAAAAAAAAAGTGAACTGTACCCTAATTCTTTCATTATGTTTAAGTCGTTCATCATTCCAAAATACTTAACTTACCAATAGGACCATTCCATGGGATATCAGATAACGCAAGTGCGGCAGAAGCTAGAACGAAGAAATAAAAAACTGTATTAAAAAATACAATTATTTTAAATTACAAACAATAATTTTTAACAGCCTTCTTACCTCCATTAATTGCCAGGACATCAGGATCATTGACACCATCTACTGCTAAAAGATTACAAAGGATCTGGCATAAGATAAAAGACAATGAATAATTTTGAGCCACAAATTTTTAGTAAGCCTCAATACAAAGCTAAGGGAAATAAATATAGCATTCCTCATATTTATACACAAACTTATACTACAAACGGAAAATTTCTTCAGGTATTTAAACAAGAAAGCTCATAAAACAAAAATAAACACCCCCCCCACACACACACTATTCAGACATTCAAAACTAAAGCAGAATATATATTCTTCAAGACTTTTTAAGTCTCATGAATGCTTCCAGTTAAGATAAAGAGAACAGAAGGATGCCTGATTATGTATAGCTCCTGTGAATTTTTGAAGACTTTCCTTAGTATTAAGCCTTTTCTTTCCTCCATTGTACAGAAAATATGATTTTGTGCACTGTACAAAATTTGAAAACTAGCACACGATAAAATTACTTTGAGACCAGGAAACTACAAACAGAAATGCAGAATTACGTTGTCATACTGGTTTTCAAAATGTACACCCCATCCTGGATGCTAATGACAACTGCTTTTCTTAAAAGAGCACCTTCATCATGTGTTATTTTCACTGGACATGCCCAAGTTTTCCATTCTAAAGGTAGCTACAGTTAAGGACACCGAGCATGACCTACCTGCGTATCGTAAAAGTAGCCTACTGGAAAGAGCGGTCTAATTGACCTATCTGTAAAAGAAATATTAAACGTGTAAGAAGTATTCAGTTTTCAGTAGTCAATGTTCGGTTCATCTTATTAAAAACACCACAAGATTATAAAGAAGCTGACAACATGGTTTAAATAAAAAGCCCAAACAAACAAAAAAGAAAAGGCTGAGAATCCAGAGAGAAATTTAGCTTGAAATATAGTCAACTATAAAACACAGCACTCAGAGGAAAACAGGCGTAGGGGTGCAGATATCCACTGTCATAGAGAATAATCTTCCATGTTTTACGATACAAATAGTCTAGAAATATTATTTGACCAGAAATGTCTTCAATGAAGAGACATGAGACAGTCCTCAAACCGAAAAGCATACAAGGAAAAGCAACAAAAGCAAGTACGTTCGACATGTTGCATTACTTCCGCGATATCTAGATTTTCTTTTATTTCATTCTGTAGTGTACTAATACAACTCTGTAGAGTAGCCCTCTTGCAGATTGGACTCTCAGGACTTGCAGATTGTTCCTTGCCCTCTTTTCATTGCTGCCTTAAAATGCTGATGTACATGACATCAATTGTATATAAACGATGACTTTCAAGGTATTATCTCATTTATGAAACAGTTTTCAACCACGATTGAAATGACTTTTCAAACAGGATCAAGAGGAAGACAATGAGCATGTACCAGTCAATAAGTCTATCTCTTCGCATTTCAGAATTTAGTTTCGTTGTCTTTTCCACCTCTCCTGACAGATGCGCAACTACAGAGGTTAACATCTCATAAGGATGAGATCTTAGAAACAATAATCTCAACAAAGGTGACTAGATGCATACAGCCTCAGCTCATTTATTATTTTTAAGAATCAATCCTGATACACTTTAACAAGTAACAGCAAGCACGTTTTCTTCTGGCATTCCGGCAAATGCTATCAATTCTGTAAACAACAGTTATACATTACTACTCCTTGTAATATCCTCACAAATGTTTGATAAAATAATTTAAAAAATATATATATATATATATCTTAAACCATTTTATTTAAATGTTTTGGCCCACCTATTACTCTGCTGGTAAGAATTTCCTTATCAGTGGAACCAAGTTCTCTTCTTAGATAGTTTGTAGGAATTCTTCCTGCTGCAGCAGCTTTCTGACGATAGTCAACCTTTCAAGAATAAAACAGAGATTCCCAAAGAAAACAGATCACTAATTTCATAGACATAGGAACATTCAGGTCAGAAGGGACATCTCCGACGATCCCTAGTCCAACCTCCTGCTCAGAGCAAGGTCCATACTGAATTCAGACAGTGTTACTCAGGGCTTTGTCAAGTTAGACCTTAAGAACCTCCAAGGATGGAGACTGCATAACCTCTTCGAACAACTTGTTCCAATGCTTAATTATCATCACTCTTAAAAAATGTTTTCCTTATATTCAACTGGCACTTTTCAACTTGTATCCTGTTGTCTCTCATCCTCCTGCTGTGTACACCTGTGACGGGCCTGGCTCTGCCTTCTCAGTAACTTCCTCATAGGTACTGGCAGGCTACTATTAGATCCCCACCAAAGTCTTCTCTTCTCCTGGCTGAACAAACCCAGCTCCCTCAGCCTCTTCTCACAGCACAAGTGCTGCAGCCCCCAAGAGTCTCAGATGCCCTTCACTGAACTCCAATTTACTCATCTCTTCTTGCCAGGAGGCCCAAAATAGGGCACAGAATTACAGATGTAGTCTAGTGAGTACTGAGTAAAGGAAAACAATCACTTCCCATGCTACACTGGCCAGGCTCCAATCGATACAGCCCCCAACACAGCACCCTGCATTTGTCTGTACAGAATTTCACGAGGTTCCTGCCGGCCCATTCCTCCAGCCTCTCTAGCTCGCTTGGAAGAGCACAACTGGTTTTGAGCATATTGACTGCATCCCCCAGTTTGGTGTCATCTGCAAACTTGATGAGCATGAATTCCAGGTTACTGATAAAAGTGTTAAATGGACTATGCCCCAGGATAGACCTCTTGGGGAATTCCACTTTTAATTGGTTTTCAGGTAGACTGTGAGTTGTTAACCATTACCTTTTCAGCCTCGTAATCCAATCAGTTTCTCACCCATTTAGACTATAACGTATGAACTTGGGATGGTGGGGTAAACTGTTGAAAACCCTGCTATAAATCGAAGCTGACAACATCCATTGCTCATCCTTCATCTACAGATCTATTCGTTTTATCGTAAGAAGGCAAGCAAGTTGGTCAGGCATAATTTATTGTGCAGGCTATTCCCAATCACATTCTCTTCCACGTGCCCTCAAACGCCTTCCGAAAGGCATTTCCCAGGATCATCATTTCCCATGATTTTCTAAGGGACTGAGATGTGGCTGACCAGTCTGTAGCTGCGAAGACTGTCACTACTGCCTTTTCTGAAAACGGATGCACATTTGCCTCTTCCAGCCCCACCAGTCTCCACGAACTTTCAAAATCATAGAGAATGGCTACGCTCTGACCTCAGGTCAAGATTTCTCAAGAGCTACCCGCACAGATCCTCTTCCACTATTTGTACTTCCTCTCCTCCCTGTACCCTGTCTCTAGGTGCAGGGGCCTGGGAGACATTGTCTGCAAAGACAGAGACAAAAGCACTGTTATCTCAAACTTATCTATGTCCACTTTTCATCTAATTGCCCATTCCATTCAGAAGTAAGCCCACATTTTCCTTGTTTTTTTTTTTCTTTCAATACTAATACATCAACAGAAGCTCTTCACATTGCTTTTGACATCCACTACCAGTTTCAGCTCTAGTTGAGCTTTGACTTTTCTAACCTCATCCCTGGATGTCTGGGCAGTATTCTAAATACTACCTTTTTGCATTGGAGCCGAGTCATCAGCTGGTCTTCTGATACATCTACTCACTTTCCTGAGTATCAGGATAGATTGTTCTTGGGCTTGGAGAAGCTCCCACTAGAAGACCTGTTGTCAGCTCTCTTGAGCTACTTTGTCTGTCAGAGCTGCCTGAATAACTTAAGATCTGCTGTTCTTAAGTATAAGTCAAAGGCTTATACTCTGTGACTTGCCTTCCTCACTTCGCTCACCGTTTTGAGCTCCACTACTTCCCGGTAGCAACAGCTAAGATCGTCACTTGTTACCACATCCCTGACCAATTTATTCTTGTTCACGAGTAGCAGATCCAGGAGAACATCACCCTTTCTTGGCCTACATAACACCTGGGTTAAGAAGTCATCCCTGACACTCTCCAGAAATTTCCTCAATTGCCATGCTCCACTATGGTGCCCTTAAAGTAGATGTCACAGAAGCTGATGTCCCCCATAACACCCTAGGGCCCTGCAGTCTGGAGACTTCCTTAAGTCGTCTTAAGATGTCTTCGCTCACTCCTTCATTCCACAACAAACTTCAACCATAACGTCACCTGTACCGGCCTCTCCTCTGATTCACACCCACAAGCCCCCAGTCGCCCTGCTGCCGCTTCCAAAACACTCCATACATTTGATCTGCTCCTTCACGTAAAGGCAATCACTCCACAGCTGCCTGTCTTCACTAAAGAGCCTGTAGAAACCCATTACGGAACTTCAGCCACACCAGCTATCTCACCATGAATCAGTTATTCCAATATCATAAACCTGTATCCAGATGCAGAACTCTAGCTCTCTGTTATATCCATGAAGTTATAACTAAGAAACGGCTTTGCAATACTTCCAAATAAATAAATCAGTATAGGTGGCAGCAATGCATTTTTTTTTTTGTAATTTACTTCAATCTAAACGTAACTAGTACCTGTTAACTCCAAAATTCTGCTTCCACGCTATCAATTACACTCACGGGCACAAACTGAAATACAGGAAATTGCATCTAAACATATGCGGGGTTTTTTTTGTTTCTTTTTTACTGTGAGAGCGGTTGAACATTGGAACAGATTAGCCAGAGAAGCTGTAAAGTCTCCATCCTCAGAGACATTCAAAATCTGACTGAACATAGTCCTGGGCAACCTGCTCTAGCTGAGCCTGCTTTGAACAGAGGGGTTGGACTGGACAATCTCCAGAGATCCCTTTTAACCTCAGTTATTCTGTGAGGATCTACGAAAACAAATTCTGCCATTAATACTTACCACTAATGGCATAAATTGAGATGGAGAAGGCTTTGTTTTACTGACTGCTGTGACCATCACCGCTGTGTCACCTAGCTGGATTAACAAAATAAAAATAAAAAAATTGAAGTTACTTGCAACCAAAGGTTTATTTTAAGTTCTACACTTATCAATAAATTAAACCTCCAGTTCAGAGCATTCTCTGCAGAAAGGCAACCACATAAATCTGTGCTTCACAACAGTTTTTTCAAAAAGATTTTTTCATGCAAAATAGACAGCTATACCTTCATTAGGGACTGATTTGCATTTCAGGCCCTACATCCCTTTAATAGGCTCTGATGTCTCAGTAATTTTAAGATACAGAAATTTTAAAGTTGCACCAATTTTTCTGAATATATATGTTTTACCTGAACAACAGCAGATCCATCAGCAAACCTAGCAAGTTTTCCAGAGGACAATTCCATTTTCCTGTTAAAAATAAATAATCCATTACTGACGGTAAATCCAGACCATTTTACCAATAACTCCTGCATTCAGCTACAGCATCTATATTAAAGGATGTTGGCTACATTTAACGTCAGATATAAACATTCTTATTAGCTGTGGAAATTGGAACTCTGTGAACACAAGAGACTAACTGCCCTTACTTTAATGTAATTTTGCCTCAAAATTCCTGTTTCTTTCACCTTGGAGCAAAGCATTTCAGGCACACTGGCTTCCAGGTCCACTCTAAGTCATACATCTCCATGACTACCATCAGTACCAGGAAGTCAGTGACTATGAGGTACCCAGCAGATGAAAACCCATTTATGTCACAGCAATGAAAGCGCTGTCTAGATTTAAAAAAAAAAAAAATGCTGCAGTACATTAGAAGCTGACAGATGAAAACCTCTTTATATCAGATGTCAGCTAGAATCGTATCAGTGACTCGAGGCAAATGCTTTACCTCACATTGGAAGATGAATGACCTTCCTGTTCTAACTGATTTTTAGAGCCTTGCTACTAGAAAATACATATATATGCTAAAAAAAAAAAGAATCACAACAGCGAACCCGCACAAGAAAACAGAAACTGCATTTCACACACCCGCAAAACACGTTTTCCCACCACAACTAGAGAACTACTGCAGACTACGTTCTCCTCCAGGCCTGAAAGAGAAATACATCTGTTCTTCATTGACTGCAGAAACAGAGCACAGGAATTTAAGTGACAGCTTCCCTCGGCCCGTGCTGCCTCCGGCGCCGCCGGATGCCGAGGACAGCCCTTTCCACCGAGCCCAAGGGCCATGGGGGCCTGGCTGCAATATCAAGGCTTCCTCCTCCTAACCGCGAGTGAAAAAACAACTTTTCAGCCGGCGCCGCAGCTCTCCCTCAGAGAGAGGGCAGCCCCGGACACCTCTGATCCTCTCCTTGCCAGCGTCTCTGATTGGGAGACAGACTTCTACAACGCTGTTTCAAGCTTGCAAAGGGATCTAAACATACATGGTATTGCCTATCCTGGAGTTTCTTGGCAAACGTTTTGTTGCAGGTCTGATTTTCTATACACTTAGGAAGGAGAATCAAACATTGACAGAGTGCCGCAGTTTGGGCAGGAGCACAGCCAGCCACCCAAGCGCAGAAACACACACTTGCCTCCAGTGCCATGCCCTTCACTCAAGCTCGTCCTTTTACTGCCCCATTCCTCTGCATGCACGCTAATTTCTTCCCATCCTAAGGTAACCATATCAGCAACCCAGTGTCCCCCTCAGGTGAAACCAGCAGAAGATCCCAAACCCCTAGGTAAACCGGTTAGATTATCTCCTCTTATTTAGATGGAGCCCCATCGTTTCATTATGAAAGCTAAGAAGAACTACAGAAAAGCCTAGCAAAGTTCCCTCAAACTATTTTGGGGTTATTAATTTGCATTTCATTGCCCCCCCCCCCCTTTTTTTTTTTTTTTTTTTTTAAAAAAAACCAAACTTTGAAAGTTCAGGATTTGTAATATAACCTCCTGACTCTCTCTGGTGCTTAATCTCGCAGCGGCGTTAAGCGCTGACCCGGTGGCAGGGGGTCTGGGCTGGGCCCGGGTGGCTCCCCGCCACGCGCGGGGCCTGCCCTGCGCGCAGCCCCCCATGCCTCAGTGTCCTCCTCCCCCGGGCAAAAACAGTCATACTTGAGCTTCGCTTAAACCAGCAATGTCAAAATACAGCGAAAGTGCAAGAGGAAGGTCACAACAGTTAGGGCAGCGTATCACGAGCAGTTAGAATACTTGTGCAGCTGCGCGCCCAGTGTGTTGCGTTTTTGGGGGGGGCGTTTCTTGCATTAATTACTCTTTGGGCGGTTAAATTATTGCTCGGTCGTATAATACGAAAGAGAGAATTACTTTGTGTGAACGTGAATGAAAAGTAACGTGAGCGTAGAGGTCTGATCACACCAACGGTGAGATCCATGCAGGATTAAATTAAAACAAATGGTCTAAATTCGTCTGTCATCTGGAGTTAACGAGGATTTAAGTTTGGGGAAGAGTTCATAAATAATTTAATGTAGTTTATTACTAGTTTTGTTCTAATGCTATTTTGATACTGTTTGTGGGTTACAAATCTTTTCTGTGTTTTCTTTATAGGATTTTTCTGTTAAAGCTGTATTTATAAAAACCAGATTCATTGGCTGGGAGAACAGTCCAAGTAATAATTTTTCTTCTGTGCCAACATGTTTCTTATCTTTTGGCAAGAGAGAAATCAAGACGAGTGATCCAGAAACTTGGCCTGGGCAAAAGAACTTAACTCCATCCAGATTCAGAATTCACGGGTGCAGTTTTATTTTGGTGCAGAAATATATTAGGTGGCAAGGCAAGAATGTTCACCATGTTCTCCTGAATTCATGTTTGCTCTGCTGCTGTCAAACAGAAGATTGTTTCAAAAGATTTGTATGTCGTTATTACTCATTAAAATTGCTGTTTTCTAACTCATGGCAAATAACTGTTCAAAGCTTCATTCGTGCTGTTATAATAATGTATTTTATTTTGTAAGAGTGTAATAAAGGAGTGGTTGGAAACATTTATATAACACCAAAGACATGAGCAACATGAATATTTTGTTAAGCAGTGAAGGGGGTTACTTTGGCCTTTCAAAGCACCTTATATTAATAGGGTATCAAATGGGAAAGCCAAAATATTTAAAAGCAGAGACTTACAAGGTTGCAACTGACAAGCAAAGAAGATACAGCATAGTAGCATTTCACGTGGAAAGGGAAAAAAACAATATGTATGCTGAGGAGGTTCAAGAGTGATGTTGCCAAATCTAGAAAAAAAAAACCATAATGAAGGCCTAGATGAGGAATGTGTAAGGATGATTTGGAAATGATCTAGAAGTGAAGATCTTCTAGCAGACACTGTCCATTCACCACAAGGGACAAAACTACACAAAATAAGCGTGAAAAGTCACTGTCTTGAACACCTTTGCTGTCAACAACCAGCATACAACAAATACTTTTACGTTAGCTTTAAATCGCTTGACACTTTGTCTTGGTAATTTCTGTGTAAATGAAATAGTAACTTTCTGTCACCCTAACTTTGGTCCTGAGAAATATTGTAGAGTCATAACTCGCATTATTCTGACATTGTTCTGAGATCTTTCACACAGAAATGCCATAGCTTTTTAAACTTTAAGAAGCAGTCATGCCAGATACATGCTTCAACTTAAAAAAGTTATCCACCTTACTTGAAACTAGGAATGAATTCTGTAACTCAGATTAAGTATAGTTGTTAAAGTCCAAAATAAACAGAAAAAATGTTTTTCAGATGATGCTTTAAAATAAATTATTAACCTCATTATTTTTTCCATTTGAAAACACATTAGAAAAGTTAAACTGTTCACAAACAATAGCAAACATTTAAAATAGGACTTTTATCTTAAAACAAAATTATTAGATAGCTTTTTCCACGTTCCTCAACATAAGCTTTAACTTCATGTACTTAAGTTCTTAATTGCCGTGGGCTAACATGTTACAGTCATGCCACTAACAGAAAGAACAGAAGAATTCTGATTTAGTCAACATTCTAGGTAGCAAACAAAATTCAAATTTAACCTCCTGAAAAAGAAAAATATTAATTTATTCAGCAAGATTTGCACTTTGTCTATGTTTTCATTAAATATTTCCTCCGATTTCCTCTGTTTTTTTCTTGAAAGTCATACTCAGTTTAATGAGACTAAAATTGAGAAATCCTTAGTTTCCAGTGCTTTCAGATCATGCACTTAGAAGACCTTGACTAGAAAATCTTGGATGGATCCTGGCAGGTAACTGTTGTGTGCAAAACGTATACCACCCAAGAACTTTTATCACTTCTGGTTTCTGCATTCATGCTTCTTGCTGTTTGAAGTCAGTAAAAGAGATGTGTTTTGCTTCCAGAATTCAGCCTAGGCACAGCAGATGCTGGTAAACTGGGAGTAAACTGTCCCCTGCACTGGCGTTTCAAAGGTACTGCTGATGCGCCACCCAGCACCAGCACTTTTGTCAGCAAAGAGCACTTATTTTTCCCGTCATGTTTACCATAGATGCTTCGTCAGTTTATACTATACAGCTTTGCTCCCCACATAGAGAAAACCGTGCTGATGACATTGCATTTTAAAATTAACCTCCACAAATACTTTCATTCAGGTCTCACCTGGGGAAATCACACTTTACTGACTGTATATCACATTATTTTCTTCCTAAAATAAGGCAGTATATGGTAAATGGGTAGTCAATATACCACGACCCGCCCGTTTGGACTCCTTTTCATCAACAGAAATAATAAGCTTCAGCGCCAAGGGACCTGCGCTGTGAACGCCCTACCCACAGATGTTCAGCAACCATAAATAAGAGCTAATCTCAGCTCTAGTGACAACACATGGGAAGATAGATTTCTCCTTGCTGTTCTATTGCTAATTTATTGAAAATGCATCCGTCCAAAGTCCTGAGGGCACGCTGGAAATACTAATTAAAATTTGTACACGTTCTCCTTGGAACAATGTCTAGAACGAATACCCCTCCCGAAATTTTTTTCCACCCCGAAATCAGAGATCACCCCAGCAGGCTTTTACCTCTCAGTAGCGCTGAGATTAGCTTAATCAGGCTACCTGCATAGCAAACCCCGCAGAGAGGGACACTGGAGTAGGAAGACTCTGTGAAATTCCCCTCCTGGTGGGGTTGTTCCTGTCTCCTGGGAGGTGAGGAATGGCCTCCCCGCATGGGTCCCAGGGCCACCTCCAGACCCTCTTTCTATGGCCTTATCTCGGCAGCTGTGACTGCTGCAGTGTATTTACCCCATTTGTTGTCCCACGCAAAAGGGCACCCACGGTAAAGGTTCTCCTTTCTCTTGCTATGGCTTTGTACCTACTTAGCAAAGTCACTCCAGAATAACTTTCAAATGTGGATTCAGACAGTTGAAAGCCAGGGGTATCAGCTGGAAATTAAAACAAAACAAAACAAAAAAAACCTTCCCCAAAATCAAGACCAGCATAGGCACCTGTGTAGCATAAATACCTGGAGCCGCCAAGAATTTTCAAAGTCCATCCCTTTGTACCTTCTTTTTGTAAATGGGATTTAGGATTTTACCCGATGTAGCAGTATGTATAAATGCAAATTTGTACATATGCAAATTTCTTAACAAATCAATTTTTTTCCCACCCAGTGTAGATGTTACAATATTGGAACCAGAAACTTCAGTAGATAATGAAAACAATTTGAAGTTAAAACTTGGACTTGATATATCATCTTGCAAATCATAACTGCTTGACTATCACTAATGAAATAAAGCTATCTTTGTCAGCAAGTACAAGTTAACTAAATTATGTTTCAAATTTTGAGAGATTCAAAACATTCTGAAATCACCGTTTATCATGACAGAGCTGGCGTTTGGACAAGGACGTTATATGTCTGCCATTCAGAAAGAATGAGCAGCACAGAAGAACACTCCCCAGGGATATTCCTGCTATGTAAATAAGTCAGGACAATAGGTATATATATGTATATAAGTTATATTTATATGTACAATTTAATTTTTTTAAAGTATATATAAAAATACATATATGCATACATATATTTTTATACATACATATATATATATATAAATTATTGCTAGAAATCGTA